TTTTATTTTATTTTATTTTATTTTATTTTATTTTATTTTATTTTATTTTATTTTATCTATTCTATTCTATTCTATTCTATTTTATATTCTATTTTTTTAAATTGTATTTTATTTTTAAGCTATGTTTTGACTTCTGTTACATGAAAAATCACTCCCATTTAGATTTATTTCCTCCAGATGAGGAAACCATCCCAGCGAAGTGAGAAAAGACGGGGCCATATCCCTGTGAAACCAGCAGGCACCTGGGAGCTAGCAGGAGGGAGAGAACAAACACGGGCTTTGAGGTCAGGTAGATCTGGTTTCCAGACCAGCTCTGCACTTACCGATGTGGGGCTTTGGAATAGACACCCTGTGGGTTCTCTGTGAGGCCATTTTCCATCTTTAAAATGGACGTAATACCATTTACCTCCTAATATATCGGTGTGGACTCAAAGGGGAGAATTTAAACATCTGGCACACAAAAGACACTCAAGAAATACTGGTTTCTATGTTCCTTCATCCCCCCACATTTGACCAAGCCTTCCCCAAATAGAACATCCTGTAGAGTCTTACCCATTTTTGGTTGTCGTTGATGGGACATCCGAAAGGATGTGAGGGTTTTTTTTTTTTTTTCTTGTTTGTTTGTTTGGTTTGTGGTAAGCTGACTTTGCACTTTAAAAGGGAAAAGAAGGAAATCTGTAGTACCTCCAACAATGAGCCTTTTTAAAGCCTGCATTGGACTCCAATTTCAAAGAATATTCTTATTAACATACTTTCTTATAAATGGAGCGCTGCTCATCAAATATTTATAAGTAGTAGCCCGAGAAGCCAGCACAGTGCTTGGCAAGCCCGGGGACATTTCCCACGTGCGCTGTGGGATGGCGTAGGCAGGGGAGATCCTTTAATTTTGTGACATGGTTTGGGGGCTCCAGCGTGAGCTAGTCTTGGCAAGGTTTCTCCCTGCTCTTGGCCTGTTCTGGAGCCTTTCAGGACTCCCACGTAGACCGTCCTTGCAGGCAACTCCCTTTGAAGTCCCCGGGAGCTCTTTGAATGGAAAACATACACAACGGGGTGTTGATGCAAGGAAGCATCAGACCTGATATACGTGGAGAATAAAGGTGCTTCTCACCCCCAAATATTAGCTCTTTAGCCCAGAAACTATGGTTTGATCATTAAATAAAAAGGCCACCCCCTCCCCCCCAAAACCCACAATCTACCACCAAAGCACCACCATCCACTCACTCAGGAAACGATAAGCCTGCTAATTACCAGAGAGTTTTAATTAAGCAACAGATATAGACAGTGCAGGGCTCTGTTTTTACTTTAGGCCTATCAATAAAATAAAATTCCCAATTCCAGGGAAACTTGCTAAATGAAAAAAAAAAATAAACATTACTGTCTTTTGAGATATCACTCATCGAGTGCGATAATTTAGAAAAATATCTCTATTAGAGATAGTTAGAGATATTTTTTGGTTGCAAATGCAGTCGCCGGTACAGCACCAAGCTGCAATTCGCAGACAGGTTAAGTAAATTAAATCACTCACTGTCTTTTTTTTTTCCAATGGCTTTAAAAGTTAAAGGTAATTTGCAAAGAAAATGCTCCGTTTGAATTGGTTTGTAATATCTGTTAATGATCTTTAAAAAAATCCACTTATTCACAATCCTGTCCCTGAGGGAATTCCAACGTGCTATCAGAAAAATTTCTTAAGTCTGAAATGTCATTAGCTAGTGATTTCTTTGAAGTAAAAAGCCCTGAAAAAATAAATTATATAAGGTATACAAGTGCGCAGGACAATCACTTTGATGAATAATGTCTGTGTTTTTCGTACCTAAAAATGCAACAATTGAAATCCAAGCTGCTAAATTATAGAGCTGTCTTCTGAATTACCTCGGTGTAGGTATGCCTGTTCTGTTTATTTCACACGTATATTGAGTTCTTCCATATATTTATAGATTGTTGATGTGAAAACAGTAGTGTTGGGCCAATTTTGATTATGTTCATTGTGTTTACCTTTTGGAAACGCAAGGTGTTGCCTAAATACAGCTCTACAGGTGTTGCCATCCAGAATTAAAACAATAGGCTGTTTCCACGCAGTATTGTGGATCCCAGGGCCAGGCGCCCCAAACGGGGGTGCGAATACCTTCGCAGGCCCGCGAATTGTCCAATATTCGATAACAGAGCTGTGAAATACTACACCAAAGGGGAAATTTTCTTCCTGACCCCAGCTGGCTATCGGTTTTTGCCTGGAAGCAGGGGAGTCTTTGTAATACAATATTAGGCAGTGTAACTGCGGATGCTGGTTTGGCTGCTATAAATAGCTAATCTTTGTGTTTTTTTTTTTCTTTTTTTTTTGAAGGAGGAGTGGGATTTTCTTAAAACCATTGGCTGCAGGTTAATTACACATTTCATAAGAACACATTTCCTTGTAGCCAGCCTAAATTTGTTACCTTTTAATCCTGCTTTATATAAGGCTAGAATTGTATGAGCCTCCAGGAGCACCTTCATTAAGTCTTTATTTTCTACGTTGGACCTTTAACTTTTTTTTTTCTTCTTCTTACACATCACTTACCTCTTAGCTAAACTGCGAAGGGACCCAGTTTTATTCATTTTCCCTCAAGGAGAAGGCATTCTCTCCTTCCTAGTCCAGCTAGGTGTGATTCTTATTTTCTGCTCTGTAACTGACATCTGGAGAATACACTGACCATAGGTGAGAACAAGCCACTGATTGATTTTAATAAAGATGTTCGATAATATTTAGTGCTTCCGTTTACTTCACCGAAGGAATGGAAATCAATATTTGAAATGTTTTGGGGAAGTTTTCTTGGGGTTCCATGTATGGAAGATTACACAGAGCAGGAACATGGGACCCAATATGCTATCCTGGAGAGAACACATCCCATAATCACCTTGCAGGACAAGAAAGAGAATATACAGCCACCGTGTCCGATGGCCCCTAGGATGGGACTCCCCTTTCCTCCTTAAAGATAACCGCTCTTCTGATGTCTAACACCACAGATTTGAGTTTTGTTTTTGTTTTTCAACTTCAGGTGTATTTATGGGCTGTATCTGTGTGGCTGGGTGCAATCCTATTTTCCTTGTTTCATTTCCTTCGATTGTATCAATACCCATTTCAGCCTTGATGATCATTTTGGTTGTTTTCCGTTTTTGGTTCTCTCAGAGAGTGCTACTGTAAGCTTCTTCATGCACGTCTTTGATGGGTGTGCGTGTGTTTTCTTTGAGTAGATAGACTAAGGGGAAAGTTACTAAGTAGTAGGGCATGACTGTGCTCAGCTTTAATGATGTCCGTTTTCCAAAGATGTTGTATCAGTTTCCACTCCCACCAGCAGTGGGCGAGAGATCCGCTGCTCTAATCCTTATTAACATTTGGTATTCTTCCTCTTTTTGATTTTGATCATTCTGGTGGTATGTACTTGAATCTCATTATGGTTTTAATTTCATTTCCCAGATTATTAATAAGTTGAGTATCTTTTCATGTACACTGGCCATTTGGATATTTTGTGAATGGGCTTTTCAAGGGTCTTGGTGATTTTTCCATTGCAATGTTCATCTTTTCTTTTTTTTTTTCAGTGTTTATTTTTGAGAGAGAGACACAGAGTGTGAGTTGTGGGGGAGGGGGGTGGTGCAGGGAGAGAGGGAAACACAGAATCTGAAGCAGGCTCTAGACTCCGAGCTGTCAGCACAGAGCCAGAGACGCTGGGCTAGAACTCATGAAGCAAAAGATAATAACCTGAGCCAAAGTCAGACACTTAACCAACTGAGCCACCCAGGTGTCCTGTGTTTTTCATCTTTTCTTACTGTTTTGTAGGAGATACTTATATATTCTGGATGTGATCCTTTTTTATTCATATATATTGCAAATATCTTATACCACCCTGAGTTTGATTTTTCACTCTTTTTATGGTATCTTTGGATGGATAGAAGATTTTAATTTTAATGTAGTTTAATTTTTGCAATATTTTCCTTTATAGTTAGTGCTGTCTATGTCTAATTTAAGAGAGCTTTGTTTATCTGAAGGCCATGAAAATATCCTTTTATACTGTCTTCTGGAAGCTTTATTGTTTTACCTTCCACGTTTAGATTTATAATCCACATGGCATTGATTTTTGCCTATGGTGTGAGGTTGGGATCAAATTTGTTTTTTCCTCCATGATATCTACTTACTCTGTACCATTAATGAAAAAGACTTCGTTGCCCAGTACTCTGAAGCGATCTTTTTGTCATAAATTAAGTACTCACTTATTTATAGAATGATCATATGATTTCCTCCTCCCCCCTTTATTCTTTTAGAATGTGAATTATTTAATAAATTTTTGAATGTTAATCCCATTTTACATTTCTGGACTAAACCCAATGTACTTATGATATATTATTTATTTGAAGTATTGCAGCGTGTTTTGATAATTTTTCCAACAATGAGTATGCCTGAAATTTACCTGTTATTTTCCTTTACCGTAATACCCTTGTCAGGTGCATTATCGAGGTTTAGCTGGCTCATAAAACGAGTTGGAGAGGCATCCTCTGTATATTCTTTAAAAAAATTAAAACATAAATAAGGCTAATCTAATATAGTTATTTAAAATACATGTAGTTTGTCTTAAGTATATCATTAGGTTCTCCAGAGAAACAGAGCCAGTGTGTGTGTGTGTGTGTGTGTGTGTGTGTGTGTGTGTGTGTTTATTATAGGAATTGACAGCACAGTTACAGAGGCCAAGAAGTCCCACAATCTACTGTCTGCAAGCTGGAGAACCGGGAAAGCTGATCATGTAACTCAGCCCAAGTCTGAAGGCCTGAGAATCACAGGGATGTGTGTGGAGGGCAATTGTGTAAGTTCTAGTTGGATTCAGAAGGCTTAAGAACCAGAAGCTCTGATGCCCAAGGGCAGGAGAAGGTGGATGTCCCAGCTGAGGCAAGGAGAAAATTCACCCTTCCTCTGCCTTTCTGTTCTATTCAGGCCCTCAGTGGATTGGATGGTGCCTACTGGTGAGGGTGACCTTCTTTACTCATCTACTGGTTGAAACGCTAGTCTCTTCCAGAAACATCCTCACAGACACATCCAGAAGTAATGTTTTACCAGGTGTCTGGGCATCTCTTAGCCATGTCAAGTTGATGCATAAAAATAACCAGCACAGTAAGTATTCACCACAATGTTCTTTCATTCCAGGCTTCTGTAGAGGTTAACTTAGACTTGCGGCAGGAGACTGGTTTTGTGTGAGTTTGCCTGGGGAAGAAAATGGAGGTTCCACTATCTTCTGGGAGTTTTCCGTGGGCACTGACAGCCTGCTCGTGTGCCCAGGGCCGAAATCTGTTATTCCATCTCAATCCTAGAACCCACGATCACAGCTCATCCTGGGTTTAAAGGAGGGCCTATGAGATGAGAAGCTTTTTGGACATATGACCAACATTCAGATAAAACACCTGCTCCCACCGAGAACCTTCAAAGCCAATTTCATCTGCTTTTGGCCCCTTCAGGTACTGTTCCATGGAGGGTTTTTTTTTTTTTTTAATTTTAATCTCCTTCAAAACTGTATATCTCATACCTGACCCCATCTCTCCATTCCTACTTGCTATTGTCCAAGTTCAAGGCCTTATCACCTCTTGCTTGGACTATGGCACTTGTGGGGCACCTAGTGTCCATTTCATCCCCTTTCCAGCCGTCCAAGTGCTCACTCTAAAATGGGCAGCTGGCTTGTAAGTCCATGTTGAAAACTGCTCCGTGGCTCTCCATTGCTCTATGAGGGGAAGTCCGGGCTCATGAACATGGCACACGACTTCTCCTATGACCTGGCTGTTGCTTGCCTCTCCAGCAGCTCTCTTCTCCTCTTCAGTCTTTGCCTCACACTCTGGCAGCTCTGTCTGCTGCAGTTCCCAGTGTTCCCCCAGGGTTCTTTGTGTCCCAGCTTTTGTGTATGCTGATCTTGCCCCAGGGGATGGACTGTCCGTGTCTTTTCCCCGGGCAGTCCATTCTTTAACAATCAACCCAGGCCAGAGACCCTTGATCCCACCCAGCTGGAGCTGCATGGTCTCCTTTTCATCCATGCCTCTGTCTCTGATTAGACTCTGAACTTCCTGAAGGCTGGGTCCAGATTTTAGTTATTCCTACATCTATAACTCACTATGTGTTGGATGATAGCAAGTGTTCAATAAACACACATAGACTTAAACAGAAGGAACAGCACTTACTAGTTGACTGGTTTGAGTTTCATTCCGTCTTTTTTTTGGAAGCCCCAGATGGAATGAAATGGTCCAAATGCCATGACTGGAAGGGAGGCAGGAAGGCAAAGGTTATGGAAAATCTGCAGATATCAATCTCTTCCTGAATGACTGATTGCGGTTCATCGGATTAAGACTCTTATGATGGAATTCGCTTTTTCTAGAATCCTTGGTAACAAGGATTTTCTATAAAGATAGATTTTTTCCAGAGAAACAAATTTGAACACTTTCCTCCAAGAATTTAAATGAAAAAAAAAAATAATAATCCTACTTGAAAGGCAAATTGACCAATGTCCTTCCCCTTTTCTCTTATTAATAAAAGAGTTTACACAGAAACTCTCTAAGAAATTGTGTAAGAGATTCACAAGGATCATTAAAGTCTCTACTAGACGTTCACTTTCACTTTGCAAAATTGGCTATACCCTCAAAATGGTATCACGTAAAAATGGACTTTCTGGGGCTCTTATATATGAATGGGTTTTAGTTGCACAGTGGGGCCATTCATTTTATTTGGCCCATTTATTGCAAGTACATTCTAAATTTGGCCTTAATTATTTTTCCTTTCACAAAAATATTTTGTGGGATCTTTTTGAACCCTGACTACTTCCTTCTTGCCCCTTAAAACAGAATCCAGGAGTGTTATTTTTGTTCTCTTCTAATTAAAATAATTGCTTGGTTCCTTTTAACTAGATTCATGCAGTTATTAGCCTAATACATGGATGGGTGCCATGGGGTGCTTGAGAAACAAAATGAAAAGTGATCATGTAGCTTCACATGAAAAAGATTCTGTGGTGCCAAGGAGTATTATTCCTTTCAGCCGGCATCTTATAAGGGCCTTTAGTAAACCTTGTCCCCCACCCCCCAGACCCTTACTAAAAGACTGTTAAGTGAAAGAGTGCTTCTATTTTCTCTATTAGGTAGACAGTGAACTCGGTACAATTTGAAGAGGGGCACTTGATATGCCGGGTATGGCACAAAGACCGGGGGTCTGGTTTTAATCTCTGCCCCTGCTTTGTCTTACAGAGTAGCTGCAATTGAAGGATAAATGCTCCATGCCAGTTGGTGTTTGTTCAGAGGACACTGGAAGAAGAGGGACAAAGGTGGCCTGGATGTATGTGTTCATCAAGGGTTGTCAGGACCCCGTTTCTAAAAGGAGGTTTGAAAATAACGGTTTTGACATCGAGATGGTTCTGGAAGTTGATGTCGTCCAACAGTTTGGCAAACGAAGGAAGGAGGCCTGCGGGCTAAAGCTGACGTGTTGCCTGTCTTTTGTAAATAAAGATTTATTGAAACACAGGCACGCCCATTTGTTGACGGATCGCCTGCTGCTGCTTTTGCACCAGAACACGGAGTAGTAGCGACAGGGACCACATGGCCTACAGAACCGAAAGAATTGACTGTGGTTCTTTACAGAAAAAGGGTGCTGGCTCTTGATGTAGTCTATCCAATTCGCTGAGTATCTTCTAAATAGCTACTCCATGCTCACAAATGTATTCATAGGCATTCGGATAGCAGCTCTCATCTGATGAAATGCTGAGGGCCTTTGGGAATGTGCTGATGTAACGGGTGTTCAGTACTGGGCGTATGGACAGCAGGAAGTGACGCAGATTTGGGGCCGGGAGTCATGGTTGAGAAAAGACTCTGTCATTATTGTCTCAGTGGCAAGTCACTGATCACGGCTGGGCTCTTCCTTTGTCTGCTACATGGAGGAGAAGGTGCTGAAACTTCTGGCTTGGAGTTCACTTTTATTAACTACTTCAAGACCTTATGGAGGTCAACATTATGGAGGTCTGCCTCCAGGCCAAAAGTTGGGCACCCTTTGCCACTAATGGGTCATTGAGTGGGTCAAGTGAGAGAATGTGAGTCTCTAAACCGTAAGATGCTGTATTTGTGACATATGAAAACATCAGGGTAAGTGTTATTTCTGTTTGGCTTGTGAAGACACAAGACAGATAGCCTACCCCAGGTCAAGTGCTAAGCCATTAGAGGAGCTGGAAGCTAGGTTTCCTGATTTAAGTCACCATTCTTCACAGCATACCATATGCTGTTTTAAAAATTTTACTTTATTTGAGAGACAGAGAAAGTGCAAGTCGGGGAGGGGCGGAGAGAGAGGGAGAGAGAGAGAGAACCCCAGGCAGGTTCCTCAAATCAGTGTGGAGCCCAACTCAGAGCTTGAACCCACGAACCGTGAGATCATGACCTGAGCCGAAGTTGGACGCTTAACTGACTGAGCCTCCCAGACGCCCCCACCATATGCTTCTTTACAGCATGTTTCTTTCCATGGCTTCAGAAAGGCTCAGTTCTTTCGTTCGTTCATTCATTCATTCATTCTTTCACTCATTCACTACTGAATATTATTTAAAAGCCTGCTATGAATGGAAAAGGAGCTGAATTTTTCAGGGAGAGTGAGGACTATGTAAAGCAAAGTTGGGAGACTCTCAGAATGATTTTGTTCTTAAATCGTTGTGATGAGAATCCTCCAGAAGGATACAGATTCTTCTCTCGATTTCCTCTGTCCTGCCCAACGGGCTGGCCCTTAGTTGTGATATGGAGAACAAAAGAGTAGATGGGTTGGAAAAGGAAGAGCAATCCTGTCATTCAACAGCCTGACATGTTCTTTTATGGTGTGTGTGAGTGTGTGCGTGTGTGTGTACTATTTATATGTGTGTATATACCATGAAAGCAAAGAGAGAGATGCTGAAATGTTGATAGCAGATTGTACCAGCAACTAACGGTTGCAGACCATCTAGGTTTGGAAGATTTGCAAGTTAACATTTTGTATATAAAGTCCAAGGGCCTCCAGATCAGAGGAATTTTCAAATACGAATTGTCCAATTAAGTGACATAAATTAAACATGCCAGATGTGGACTTATTTTACCACACTGTTTAAATACAGCCTTCATTCAGATTGTATTCATTCAATGATGTGTCCTGTAATTTTTGAAATGATGATTATCAAATGTGCCCAGAGGAAGCAGCTTCCACGAAAATACTAAGTTTGCCTTGTCATGGTCAGAGAAGTTAAATTCTTGAAAGTTTCTGTTTTTGATACTTGCTATTTTAACAGGGAAATTTGCCAATATTTTCTTAATATCCAGTGTTGTGGGCTACTTGTATTTTGGTTTTTTTTCCAGGTTGATCCGCGAGCCTAAGTCTATGGTTCTCTGAAGCAAAGGTGCCAGTGAAGTTGCTTCATAAAAAAAAAAAAACAAAAAAAAAACAAACCTTCCGGAATCTTCCATTGGAGAATTGTCACCTGCAAAGACTTCTGAGAGGTACAGTAGAAAATTCTGCCTTATTCTCCTCCCCCTCCCATCCCATAAGTCAGTCACAGCCCTGACAACTGAATTTGGGGGGGGTGGTATTTGCTTCTGTAATTCATTAATGAAACCATGTTACTTCTCAGATGGTCCCAGGACCCAGGCTGCTGCTATTTTAAGAAACGTAATTTGGTTCAGCACACAAAAAACATATTCATAGCAGGTCTTAGTAGTGATACAGGTAACACTTTTCAGATAACTGTGAGAAATTTGTAAGCATTAACTAATTTATTTAACTTCCCTGTAATTGAGTGAATTTTCTTCCATTTGCGGCGGGAAAGCCCTTCCTTTTCTAATTCTAATCTTTTAGCAGGTGTTCTCCTGAATAATTGTCATTAGGGTGGAAATGTTTTGTAGAGGGGAAATAAATCTTTCAACACAGTGTAAAATCCCACCAGAATAGATGACCTCCATTTCCTCAGTGTATAGCCTATTTTTAAGTGATTAAACAATGCTCTGGAAAAAAGTCACATTTCCTTGAAAACCATAGGAACCGTTCTCATATTACTATAGCCGCTGTCACTACCACTAATGTGTGCCATGTTCCTGATGGTTTACACGTATTACTTTGAGTTCCCCAGGAAGGAGAACTTGAGGAAGAATTTCATGTGCTGTCTCTTTAGTGGAGAGGTCAGTCCCAGAATGGGACGTGTTTGGGAGAATGGTGGTGAGGCTGAGACGAAAGGAGCAAATACAAGGGTGTGTTATTGATGTGGTCCCAACTTGGTGTGTGGCGTAACTGATTGCTCAGTCCTTGGGAAGGTGGTAGGCTAAATATTGGCCTCCAGAGAAATGTCTTATATCCTAATTCCTAGAACCTGTGAATGTTACCGACTGTGCCAAAGGCTTTGCAGATGTGACTAAGGGTCCTGAGGTGGAGCGATCACCTTGGGTTATCTGGGTAGGTCCTAAATCCGATTGTAAATGTCTTTATAAGATGGCGGCACAGGCAGAGGTAGATCTGACACACGGAGGAGAGGGCAGTGGGATCAGGGAGGCAGGAGTTAGAGTGATGGGGTCACAAACGGTCGCATGTGGGCGGTCACTGGAAGCTGGAATCCATGAGGAAGGGACCCTCCGGTAGGGCCTCTGGAAGCGGCACAGCCTCTACTGGCCCCTCGGCAGTACTGACCGCAGACTTCTGCAATAATCCACGTCTGTTGTTCTGAGCCATCACATTTGTGGCAATTTGTTATAGCAGCCACGGGGACCCAATACAGGGACTGTCCTCCCAGAGCATAAACCATGAGGTCTCAGGATGGACTAATAGAAGGAAGATGGCAAAAGAATTTGTTGGCTAGTGCCAACCACCGATTGGTGAACGGTTTTCCTCGTGGGACATTAACACCCCCTTACTTCCCCGTCTTACCTCTGGGCTGAGCATGGCTGGGAGCGGAGTTTCGCTGGAGTTGTCTCATGCTTCATGGGTGATAGGGAAGCTCCGGGAAGGGAGGGCAGAGGCCAGCCAAGGGGACAGAAGAAGAGGCTCCATTGGGTTGCACATGACGAAGTCTGTGGAGTGGAGGCAGGGGGAAGCAAATAGCTGACAGTCCAGAGCAGTGTGGCCAAGTTGCCACCTGAAAGGCGGCACACAAGGGGATTTGAAGCAATGTTCTCCTTGGCCCTCCTCACAGGCGCACGAGGCACGGGTGGTATGATCTCATCAGCATGCACTCATTCTCCGGTCTTGGATAGCATTAGCTTCTGGAGCTCACTGTCACTCAGGGCTGCACGTGTCACCTTCAAATGCGGTCATGGAAGTCCTTTCCGTCAGTTGGGTCAAAAGCTGCCTTCGCGGACTACTCCACGAGTGGCTCTAGGTTTACTTCTTGATGCACATTAAAATAAGGCTCATTCTTGCACGTGAGAGCTCTCTGAAAATATTTGAAGACAGTGTTTATCCTTTTCCCCCCTACCACGCAGAGCTCCTCCCACTTCTTCAACTGGGGCATAGGGGAAGAGCTTTCTCTTTGTGGCTGGTGGCCACGCCCACCCCTCCTCTGGCCAGGTTTCAGTTTGTGTCCCCGTAGGGAAGCTCACAGAATGCCCCAGAACTTCAGGTATGGTCTTCTCGGGCATATGGGGTTCTTCCTTCCTTGGTTCTTTACGTCGTTTAATGTAGCCAGAGATTCTTGTTATTTCATTTTTTGCCAAGCACGACGTTTTTTTTTTTTTTTTTTTTGGTTTTACTGAGCATAGTGTTGATCACAGCGCTTCTGACACTTGTTTGTGTACGGATGACCCTGGAAGTGTAGGTTAGTACCAAAGGTGCCCCAAGGGCTCCAAAGAATGAATCACTTTGCAAGTGGTGTTACTGTATGATCAAATCGTGGAGATCAGAGTGTCACCCCACGTCAAGGCACACAAACGGGCACAGTTTTGTGCAGCGTTGAGGTCAGTTGGGGATCCCTACAGGTCAGCACCAATTGGCCACGTGAGATTGAAGGGCTCTCTCAGCCAACCTGCCCTGTTACCGGCCTCCCTCCTCAGAACAAGGAGCCAACCAACCAAACCCAGTTCTGGAGAGGGAGGAAATCTACCCTGATAGAGCAGGCAGTGTTCTACTCGTGGTCCAATCCAAGACCCCAGCACCTTCTTGCAGGAAGATTACCATGGACTAAGAAAGCCAGTGGACAGGTATTCTACATCCATTATCTGCCATGTTCACAGTAACCCTGCAAGGTAGATATTGCAGTCTTCAGGTTACAGATAGAGAAATTAAGGCTCAGTTCAAAGGAACTTTCCCAAGGTTTGAGCATAGCAGACCTAGGGTTGAGATTCAGGTGGGTCAGTGTTTCTGCTACACCGTGTGGTGGCTAAAGTGATTTTGAAGCTGTAGGAGAGGGAAGGGTGGGGGGTCTTTGGATCTCTGTAGGTGCACTGAGCCTTGAGCTGACCCTTCCAGGCCTCCCCAAAGGAGCTGGGTAGAACACGGTTGGCATTAAATGGCTAGTCTTTGTAAGTTCTCCCTCAGTGACTGGGTCTTCTAGTGTCATACACGTTAGGAAACATCTCCGCCACATTCTGGCCCAACCTCCACCGCTCACAAATTCGGGACTTTCTTTGGCCCAACACCCATTCGCTAAGTGCCTTCTGGGTCTTTTGCACCAAGCCAAGATAGGGACGGAAGAACAGGGGCCCTTGGTTTAGGTCATGCAGGCTGAGAGTGCAGGAGTTTGGATGAAGGTCTCAACTGTCTAGGTCATTGATTCCAATCCTGCAGAGAAGCCAGTAACATTAGAACTTCCTCTGGGCGTCTACCCAGACCGAGGTGTTCTTGAACCCATGAGGTTGGATAATATCGTGTGAAGCATTATCCAACCTTTTACCTCTATCTAGTTTTTTCTTTTCACTTTCACCTCATTCAAGCAACTAGGCCAGTGCCTATTTTTTTTCAGGGAGGGAAGTGACAGTGAAAAATACGTCTTCCCTGGTGGTGGCAGATTCTTTAGGTTGACACTCTCAATCCCCACCCTACTGGCTATTTCCTGTAACAGAGGCTAGAAAACCAACAGCTCACCTTCCCACCACCCTTCAGATTGGAGTAGGTGGATGCCTCCAGTGCTGGCGGGAAACGTAGGCCATGGTCCATCGTAGCCACTTCCTTCCCAGCCAGCTTCGTCCTGCTCACATGATATGGGATGCCCAGGGGACAGCGGCCATTGTTAAACAGCGCTAAACAGGCTGGAGGCTAGGAAGAGCCTGGTTCTTTGACTACGTCTTTGTTTCGCCCTGTGCCCGATTTTTTAAAAAAGTTTTATTTTATTTATTTTTGAGAGTGGGGGGCAGGGAGAGAAGGAAGGAGCGAGAATCCCAAGCAGGTTCCGTGCTGTCAGCGCAGAGCCCAACACGGGGCTTGAACCCACGAACCGTGAGATCATGACCTGAGCCGAAACCAAGAGTCAGACGCTTAACTGACCGAGCCACCCAGGTGCCCCTGTGCCCGACTTTTTTGTGTCTCACATTAAATTTCTATTTGGTCAAGCCTCTGTTGTTGGGTTTCTGTGATATCCTTCCAGACGCAAGCCTTACGGTTTTGCTACATTCTTGGGGGAACAGAGAGCCTTTAGGGCCCAGCTAAAGAGTGGAGATTACAAAGTCTGTGGGTACATTTCACAGTCTTGATGGTGGGGGAAAGGGCAGGGAGAAGGAGATCTATGCTTGGTCTCTTGACATCTGGTAGGAGCGGTAATTGTGGAGCACGAGGCTGTCCAGAAGCTTGGGCAGAAGGCTTGTGAGGACCAAGGCGGGGTGGGGGGGAAGGACTGAGCGACATATCAAAGGTTGCTTGAATAGACACATGACATCAAACACTGATGGCCTCTCCCTTACCATGTCTTAGAACTAAAGAATCCCCAGAACTTGGCCATGGCTTAGGCACAAGGGAGGCCCCAATTCTGATATATTTCTCTCTCTATATATAAAATATTTATTTTGAGAGACAGAGAGAGGGAGCATGAGCGAACCCAGGGGAGGGGCTGAGGGAGAGGTAGAGAGAGAATCCCAAGCAGGCTCCATGCTGAGCATGGGCTCAATTTCATGACCGTGAGATCATGACCTGAGTTGAAATCAAGAGTCGGATGCTTAACCGACTGAGCCACTCAGGTGCCCCCAGAACTTACATATTTTTAATACCTGAGCTGAGGACTGAGATTAGCACCGGCTCTGTGTTAGAATGGGCAGAACATGTAGAAACCTTCTTCGCAAGGTTGAAATGGATGAGTCACACTGGATGAACCCAGGGGGCTGCCTGCCTCCCCTCCTGCGTGGGGGGGGGGGCGCGACACCATACCCCTGAGCGGTGGCACGGGGCTGCTGGGGTTCCGAGTGTTTTGGGGGTCTCGAGCTGACCTCTGTGACGGGCTCCTTGTTCTCTCTTGCGATCCCTGAGGTGCTCCTCAGTGTCAGGACTTGTTTCCGTTCAGCGGGTAAATTCAGGATGGAGGTTCAGGGAG